ATTTTCTTTTAAGCTTTCTTTACAGCTTTCCTTTGGCTTAGTAGCCAACTGATAGGATAGTTTACTTAGCATGTATAGAAGATCGATCGTTTATTCCAATTGTAAGAACATGGAGGTAATATTACCTTCACCTTATACAATTGTAGTCCTGACTTTATTTTTTAATTAATGGAAAACGTATGCATCTTTTGTCACATGTTCATCTATTCATTTCATTATTAGCAATCCAACTTTTCTAAAACTTATTCATCAAGGATAACTTCTTTATTGTTTTGTTGTGTTACGTAAGCGAGGTTATCATTTTAAAACCAGTAACAATATGGGTAGCCTCTAATTAATTTAGAACAAGATAGGGTATTTGACTTGTTGATGAAAAACAATATTTACTTCAACTGATTATTAATAATTGAAGGCAAAAATCCACTCGTTCAAGCCAATTTTGGTTTTTTTTTTTTTCCTAAAAATGGAATGAATTGTTTCATTCACATAATGGCAATTCATGTGAAGTTTACACATTCGTAGCGTACATTATATTCACCTAATTTGCTTTTTTTTTTCTTGAATTTTACTTATTTAAATTTATCTTATTTTATTTTAACTACTTGTTACTATTTAAATTTATCTAAATTTATTAGACCTTAAAGTAACTTATTTTAATTGTAATTTGAACTTATATAATTCTTATTAACTCTCATTAGAAATTATCGAAACTGATTATTAAAGGACTAATTCAACCAAAAGATTAAACTAATGGTTGAGGCCCAGGAATATGTTTTATACTCTATCACGCCCCCTCACATGAGAGCCTTTGGGTTTGAAATGTGGATACAGCATGAGCCATCCGCATACCCTGCGCAAAATATTCCAATTGAAAGTAAGGGGTGGATGAGATTTGAACCCGTTACGTTTGTGTCACGATGGCTCCGATACCATGTTAAAGGAATAACTCAACCAAAATCTTAAACTGATGGTTGAGGCTCAGGAATATGTTTTATACTCTATCACTTATTTTCTTGAACTATTTAGAGCTTATCAACCCTAATCAAAACTTATGTGAAATTATTTTTCCTAAAATAAGTAAACATAAGATGAAAATTAAAGAACAAGGGCCTTAGTTGATTAAAGAGATTCATTAGCGCTTTGTTTGGATAGCAAAAAAGGAAGGAAAGGAAGGGGAGGGAAAGAGGAGGAAGGGAAGGGAAAAGAAAGGGAGGGGAGAGGTGAGCTCCATTTTCCCTCCAAATCTCTCCAAATTTGGACCGATTATGCTTATTAAAAAGAGAGGAAAAATGGATCTCTCCCTCTCCTTTTCCTTCCTTCCCCAATCCTTTACCCAAATAAGAGAGTTTGTCCCCTTCTCCCTTTCTTTTCCCTTCTTTTCCTTCCATTTCCTTCTACCCAAACAAAAAGTGTAAATATTTTTCGTAATGTTTCTCTTTCAATTTGATGTATTGGATTCTATTCAAAACATGTGAATGCATGAGAGTACTCTTTCTTTAATTTTGTGATCCCCGACTTATCTAGTGATCATGTCGATGGTGATCAACGTGTATTTTCATTTTCATGTGAATGAGATTACTCGTTCTTTTATTTAATGTTTGTACTTTTTAGTGATTGTGATTTTTTTCACCTTGCAATGGTTGTGACTAGTGAACAATCCTTGTGCAGACAAATGAGTCAGTAATTTGGAATTCCATATTTAATGTTTTTGTTGAATGTCTCCAATTATGCTACTAGAGGTGGACTTAAGGAGGCATTGTTGCCTAAATATGAACATGACTTCCTTGATTTATGACTTATGAGAGCTAGCTGAAAGAATTGTTTTAAATACATATGGTATGATTAATGAGAAAATACGGATTACAAGTTTATCAACTTGATAAATAAAATATGAGTCTCACAATTGTTGATTTATTAACAAAAATATCATGCTGATTGGATAAATTGTCGCTTTATTTACGATTAATAAACTAGGGCTTCCTCATAATAATTAAAACAATTAGGTAATAAGATTCATAAATTAAAACTCTATATTTCGTCAATTTTATCATTTCGCAAGGGGCATTTGCTTCTCAGGTCTCTATCCCTACCTTATAAAAAGTTTAACAAAATTCTTATGAATAATGTTTCGACATTTATATCCTAAAAATGTTCTTTTACATATTTGCCCCCATTTTAATTTCAAAAGCCTTAAAATAGTAAATTGATTATTGATTTGTATATAAAAAGTTGTGTTTATTTCAATATTTATTTAAAACCATCTTTTACTCTCTCCATCGCCTTTTGTTTTCCTATTTGAAATTCTTTTAAATACAAAGTATTAAAGAGACTCTAAATTAATTTTAATATATATGGAGTACAAGAATTACTGAGTATAAAGTTGTGTGATGTCTTGTTTAATTTATTCAATTAATCTCAATAAATTTTTAAACATTTTATATATTTATATTTCTAAAACTCGATATTTTTTTACCGTCTTTTCGCGAAATCAAAATAGCTCTATACATTTATATTTCTAAAACTCGATATTTTTTTACCGTCTTTTCGCGAAATCAAAATAGGTCTATTAAAGCTTCAAACATTGCACAACTACACACCATCCGACACATTATTTATTGCCTATGTACAAATAATTATAATAAAATATCATGTAAATAAGTATAGAGTATAAAGGCCATCGATAATAATTGCTAGCCATACAGCACGCATCGCGCGCGTTAAAATTCCTAATATTGAAAAAAAGAGGGAGTGAAAATGAAATTTATAATTAGTATAGAAATGCTCTCCCATTAGTTATTTCTTTAATTGAAATGGTACATGGATATATTAATGTCTCCCTATCACAGGTATAAACCAATAAAATCTAATAATCATGGATATATTAATGTCTCGTGGATAAATGCTATCCCTTTATATGTTGGGCTATCTACAAGTCATTTATTTGATACTTTGTTTAATGTAGGAGATCCCTCCACCTCCTCAATCTTCAATTCTTCATCAAACATCATCGATTCATCATGCCAATTTCTACTAACTCAATATTAATGGTTTGGTTCTCGATACGGTAGCAACATAAATCATCATCAAAGGTAGCAATGGACTACTATTTGAACCACACACCTTCAATCTTAGCATTACCAAGGTTCATGGCATAGCCACAACAAATGTGTTTTTCTAGCACTCGATCATCAATGAGATAATTAATGACTTCACAAGTTCACAATAGGTGATAATCTCTTAGTCATCTACTCAGTTAAAGAGACCTCATCAATTTCGTGGCATATTGATTATATGACATTTGCACGCTTTTTCATAACTTCAAAACTTATGGCATTTGCATCTACCGAGAGTTAAGTCAAGCAACAGACTTGATTGCTAAAGTCGGTCATCTAGTTAATGATGTGACAATTATTACGAAATAGTGGGGGTATAATTTTACCGACAATCTCAAAATTCAAACATTAATAAAATTTGAAGTTCACATATTCTCCTTCCCGAAATTGAAATGATTCCAACTAAGATTGAGCTAATAATCAAAATTCCTTAACTTAAAATTTAACCGATGAATTGGTTTGAACTAAGATCTATCTGAAGACCCGATCCAAAGTCTACTTAACCCATTTTGACCCAAATAAACCTGGTTAGATCTAAATCCGTGCTCACCCAACTCAATATGGCTTAAACCGAATTTGACTTGACTCAAATTCGATTTGTACTCGACCATACTTGAACTCAACTTTGACCTGAATCTAATCAAGCTCGACCCAACTTGATTTTGCCTGTTAGGATAAAATGACTAGTCATTACCGACCCAAATATCCCAACCTATCCCAAACTCTATCTGAATACCCGAATTGACACATCTAAGTACGAATATTAATCCTTGTAATAACTCTTGTTTATTTTTACTCTCATCCAATGCAGTAAAAATTCAACTTGTTTAGGATTTTTCACAACACCGTTTTAGTTATGTTAAAAAATAAAAATGTTCCCTTTGAGTGCACATTTAGGAAGGATGATGTAAAATTGTAAAGTCCTAAAAACATGTCCGCATTTCTTGGAATTTCCACCTCTAATATGCCGTTTAAGTTGGGCTTAAAACGTTTCCTTTGAGTGCATATTTAGGATGGATGAGGTGTAATCCGTTATGTACGATCTCCCTTTTTATGATTGCATCACACATTCACCCTCAGTATATTCAATGTGATTTGCTACTAAGCCAGTAAGCCTTGTTATCTAACACATTGCAACCTACATCCAAATTTATTTATTTTTTTTAAAAAAAAAAAAAAAAAAAAAAAAAAAGGTTTGTCGATACTTTCATTTCAATTTATCATAATAACTGTAATTTGCAATATGGAATGTATTAGATATTGAATCATGTTATCTAGTTAGTCAAAATTTTGAACCCCATTCAAAATTTTTGGTTTTGTCTTTCACAATGCTGAGAATTAGTATGATATACTCGTAATATTGAAGGATCAAGTAGTGTTACAAAGAGTTTGTGCGGCTTTATAGAGTTGGAGCATAGAGGCAATTGGCCGATCTTCTAAATTCTAAGCGAACTGCTTGAAAACTAGGAGTCAATTCCTACCATGATCCCCCCACCCCAACACCCAAGCGAGATATCCTTTCATCCTACCTTACCAAAAGGAGTGGTGCGTTTACACGAGAGAATTTTGCAAAAACGCCAATTATGCCCAAATCAAAGGGACTTGGAAGATTTTAATCATCCCCTCAGGAATTTAGCCTGGCCAAATGATAAAAACCCTTATAAACTTATAAAGAGCCCCGTAAGAGAACCAGTGTCTATTAGAAAGATGGATAAAACAGATCACACCGTCGTTTAGCTGAACCAACCTATGTCATATAAGTATACTGCACTTCAAGATCTGCACATTCAGCCTGAAACCTGCCATAGATATGTGCTGCACCAACTTCACATTCTAGAGAAATGACATTACACGATGACATTAGACAAATCTAAAATTAAAGCACAATTGACCAACAATCCGAAATTCATTGGCGAAGGGATGAAAAGCAATAACCCAAAATATTTTCAAAAATCTCCTGATAATTTGTACAGTTTGGTTGCAATGAGGAAGCCCTTGATATAAAATCACAGAGATGCTAATACACCACATCTAAAACTACATACTCCACATAACTTCTAAACTAAAAGCCAAAATATGTGGATGGCACATAAGATCACAGAAACACCACATTTAAAAAGGGTGTCACAATCTCAGTTAAAGCCCCATCATCACTCCATCCATGGATACAATGACTAGTTCACCAGCACCTGATATATACGATCGACCTACTATTATATAATGAGCTAGTTACAAAAAGAACTAGAAATGCACCCAAAATTAAGACAAGCCCAATCAAGATCAGTAGCCTCCAAAACTGCCCCTCTTATTGTTACTTCCATTCCAGTGATAAGATGGTTGGCCATCCCCCTGTAACTTTGGGCCCTTGTTGTTTGCGACATAGTAATCAGGACCTTCTCTTTTACGGCAACCTGCATTTAACTGTCCTTGCCCTCGATGGATATTTATGGAATCTTTTGGCCCCCAGTTATACTTGTCCCTTGGTTTCTGCCCCCACTGGTTGCTCCTACCATTTTGCATTCTATTACCCCGATAAGAACTGTATTCTTGAGGCCTCTCTCTATTTCTGTCACTCCAATAACTGGAATAGGTTACCTTTCCTGTCTCTTGATTCCTGCTCCATGAACTTGCTGCACGATCTTGCCATCCAGAGCTTTCTTTTCTCCATGAATTACCATTGGCACCCCAGTTGTTCGACATGTCAGGGTGTGTATTTGGTTGTAAACCCGGGGGTTTATTCCATTCACCTCCCCAAGTAGTATTTGTAACAACTTCATTCCCCCGAGAACAATGGTTTTCCCAAGGGTCATTATCAGTATTCAACTTGCTTGTGTGACTAACAGAGTTATCCCACTGATTCCAACCAGTAGCTTTATCCTTGACAGCTCCATTATCATGTATGTCACGGCTCACCCAAGGATCATCATCTTTATTCGAAGTGCTAGCACCATTACCAGAATTATCCCACTGGCCCCAGCCAGATCCTTTATTTTTCTCTGTGCAACTCTGTACATAAGCATGTTCACAACGATCATCGACATCAACAGGCCATCCACTATGTTCTTGTGACCTAGTAGAAGAAGGTAAGTAATATTTATCATCTGGATTAAAGTATGCTTTATCTGCCTCCCTAATTAAAGCTGGATCTATATAGGGGTTCCAATCTATTTCATCAATGTACATATCTGGATTAGGGAGTTCATTTTCACATGAAAGGCCATTCATATCTTCCCAAAAGCATCTTTTGGCAGTATTAAAAGCCTCCTCACCAGCAGAATCATCCCAGCTAAGCACATTACTATTACCAAGGAGATTCATAAAGTTCTTCGTACTCAATACTTTCTTCCATGGCATCCGTCCCACCATATAACAAAACTTTTTTTCCCACATCGGCACATTATCCTGCCAAACCTCTGATGTATAGAAAGTTAAGCAACATATACTACAATATCCAAGATAATTCAATAATTTTACGAATATAATAAAAGTAATAACTACATCCATTCTCTAACTCCCCCAACAATTGCCCTATTCCTTAATGTTCGTCCCATTTAACTTTTTCACAATTTTAAAAATATATCTTTAATTATGTAAATTAAAAGTTTATAACAGGTAAAAAAATTTGAAACTACACATCAAGGTGAATCCAACAACATCCCAAATCAGTATATTTTTCTTATATTTATTGGTGATATTTTTCTCTTCAAATGGAATATTCCAAATGGGACAAAATATTCAATGGAAGGAGTAAGTAAATCTACAGACACAACAATGGTAACATGCACATAGATGCATAAGGTAACCCAATGGGAAATATCTTGTCTCACTTTCCTAATTCCCTCCTTAAGTCTTTAAAGTCTTTGACACAATCACTCTTGATCACTGAAAAAATTTACAATCAAAATCACAGTGACAATTGTGGTGTCAATTAAAAAAAACATCTTGCGGGTGTGACATACGCTGACAGGATGATCCCATCCCATATGCTTTCAGAGAAATTAATACCTTAATTCAGATTTATGTGACATATAAACTAATTAACATGATGTTCATTTCGAGGTGTACTAAATAAATTGATTTTAAACATTAAAAATCAAAGCTAAAATATATCATGGAGCACAAGCAACAGCAGTATAGAAGTATACAACTAAGCAACAGGATGGACAAGCACTATGATAAATGAACTAACTACAAAAATCCAAATTGAACAAGATGTATCATTCAGGCATTTATCACCTGCTAAATCGGTTAATATTCATCATTTAGGTATTTAACACCTGCTAAATCGGTTAGCATTCATCTAATAAAGGTTGATCTGAACTTTGACACTGTCATTTGAGGGAGTATCAACTCTTATATTTTCTCTAATGTTGTTGGACCATAAAACTAATTAATCTCTTTACCCCTTCTACCAATACAAAAAGTTCTAATATTGTTTACATTGGGTCCACAAATTTATAGCTTTCGAAGATCTTGTCTATGATCAACATCCGAATGATAACACTTCAAAACCCCCTCTCCCCCCCCACCCCCCCGGGTTTAACTCTCATTACTCTCTTTTTTCTTCTTTTACAAGAACGCAACTGCTTCAATTCTTCACAACACCTTGTATTCAGCCTCATGAACAACTAGAGTTCTGAATTTGAGCGGAAGGTGAAAGGAAAAATACTGTGCGATTATCTATTAGGACAAGTTTAGCAAGTAAAACGAATGCCATCATAGAATCAACCAACGAAAACACGTAGAAAACCGATGTCCAAACACAATCTTTCCTTTTCTACACGTTCTCATAGAACCAATTTCAAAATCACCAATAACAAATCAGCTAACTACAAACATTATAGGACGCTGATTTAAGGATTTATCACAACACTACACAAATACACACAATCAATTTTACCAATTCCAAGAAAACGTTGAAGTGATAATCGCCCAGTAACAATCGCCCTAATAAATTAATATTTCTTCAATCAACCTCAAATTAATTACACAATCACAATGTTAACAAATTCCTAAAATTCACATCCAACCACAGTTCATTTGAATCAATTTAAAATATAACAATCATCCAATCAATAGCATTCTACTCTATACCCTACAATATAGTGTCACATTACATCCTATACACCTAATCGTTACACTCCTTCCGTCTCAAATTATTTGTCTCATTTTCTCTTTAGGTATATCCCAATTACTTCCTTCGTCATATTTTCCCCATTAAACCAACTATTTCAACAAAAATAGGGAATTTCAAACCAAATTCAAATATTTAAAAAACCCAATAAACCCAGTTCAGAATTGATCGTAAATCTCAAGAACAATTGAAGAAATCTTTATTCAAAAAAATTCAGAAAAGGTAAGAGAGAAAGATACCAGTTTCAGGGTCAGGGCAAGGTTCATCTCTGGGAGGAGACCATTGATAATCTTGATAATAACGGCGCCTTGGTCTAGCATAATAGCGTCGATCCCATTTACCCATTTCACCAAATAATTTCTAAAATTTTCTCTTAGGTTTTACGAATTAAATTTAGGTTTTTAACGTTTAATTATGAAAAGGAGAGAGAAGAAGAAGAATAACGTGTCTGAATATACTAAAGAAGCAATTTACTGTGTTTATTTGTATGGGGGGAAAAAAATTAAAAAAAAAATTAAAAAAAAAGGGAAAAGGGAAAAGATTTGGTTGAAAAGATTTGGTTTGAGTTGGAAATTGAGTAGATGCAACTTTTGCCGTTTAGTACACTGACCAAAACAGGGTTTAAATCTTTCACATTCTTCTTCTTCTATGCTTCCTTCCGACAAGGATGGCCTCTTTGGTATTAGCTCGATTTACTAGATTGGTGCTCTTTCGTTTTTTTATTTTTTAAGTGTCTCATTTTTAAATATCGGATTTCTAATTTTGGAGATCTTTTTGAATGAAGCTCATCGAATAATTTATACATTAACTTTTTTTTTTTTGTGTGTGTGCGCGTAAAAATGGAATATTGTATATTAGTTATGAATTCTATTAATGAATTATCTCTTTTTACTCAATCATGACCAACTTATATTTGGATGACAATGTCATGCCGAAGGTGACTCGCGCAGAGAAAATGCCCCCATTCAATAGTGAAGAATAACCAACTCAACCCTATTTGACTAGTCAATCTCAGAAATCTTATTAGCCGAAAAACTAGAGAGCACGACCACAATTTCGGCCTTGCCATCATTAAAAGTGTACTAATCGTTGAACTTTTGATATCTATTTTTCTTTTTTCCTTTTCTGGCAAAATTGACCAAGCTTAATACAATCACAACAACATCCAAAGGTTCTACCTTTGGATTCTAAAGATTTAGCTTCTGATGATAATTTAGTCGTGAGGGTATATTGCATTAGGTAAAAGACTAAAGATTTAAACCATGATTTTGGTTTGGTATAATATCTCTTTTATGGGAATCTACGACGTGTGCCCACGAAGACACATTAGACAAACTAATTGAAAAAAATAGATGAAAAAGTCTGGGGATGACTTTTTTTCCCCTTTTGTAAACATATTTGGAATTCTTATTTTGTAGAAAAATAATACGAAATAATTGTCAAGTTTAAAGTATTGTAAGAGAAACTAAGTTTTATTTCTTTAATTTTTAAATCCAAGAATTAGAAAGTGAGAGTAATATACGACTAACGGACTAAGGGGGTGTTTGGTTCATCAATTTGAAATGGATTGGTATGGAATATCATACTGGAGAGGTATGGATTTCAAAACTCATACTAGTTCAAAGTTGTTTGGTTTTATTGTTGGAATGGATTATATCCTTCATTAATAGAATGGATTGTGAATCTTAGGGGGAATGAGTATGAGAAGGAGTTAGAACCCTTTGGGTATGAGATTCCATTACTAAAAATCTCAACTAAATAAAAAAAATTAGATGGAGTGGATTCTAACTCTATTTCAACCCATTCCAAACGATCAAACCAAACAACCCCTAAGTATAATCATGACTAAACATTAACCAAATAATCTATCTATACTTTAGTATTTAAAAACTCAAATCGGGAAAGAAACATATTCCCATCCTATTACATTTCCATATCTTTTTTTCCAACCTGATGTACCACATGTCTTCTTACATTTTTAATTTTTTATTACACTCTTTCTTAACTCTTTTACTAAACACTTCTTCTCCATCTCCCCTTTTCCATTCAACCTTTTTCTTTTCTCTCTTTAATATAAGTCCTTTCACCTTCTTTTTTTCAGACCTAATTTTGAATTAAAGTCCCAAAACTTTAATTTCTTTATTCATATTTGTGGTTACCCATTGCGCCCATAATAATTTATTGACATTTCCTCACTCATCTCTCAATGCAATTTTCAATGAATAACCCGTGCATCGAACGGGCCAAAAGACTAGTTTTCTTAACATGATGCACCTTTAGATGGCACGTATTTATAGCCTTTTATTGAGTTGCTATATTTTATAAAAAAAAATAAAAACACACAAACATACGATATACTTCGTAGTTGTTAATTATTATTCAAATATTAATTTTACCAACTTCTCCTTCTATCCACGAGTAAATATCACAGTAAGGAAGTGAACTTTAGTATAAGTTACAAATAAGATACTGATTTCAAAAGTTGCAATTAGAGAGTACTGAAACAGGTAAACCCCCTCTTTTACCTTGTATAACTAATTAGAAGTTGTTACTAATTATCCTTTGATTTATCTTTCTCTCTCTACTTCCCCTCCTTGAGTTTCTGTTTGTTTGTTTGTTTTTTTTTTCATCTTCTTCATCATCAACTTCAAAAAAACTTCAAAATCTCTCTCCATTTTAAAAATTAAAAAAGAAAATTCCCCTCCCCCCACCATAGTACACCCCGACTACTGCCACCTCTGCTCCTCCACTCTCTTTAATTTTTACTTATAACGAAGTTTAGGGGGGCTTTTTCTGGTGGGTATTGGGTTGATTTGAAGTGATGGGTTGTAATACTCCGTATTTTTATAATATTTTTACATATATAAATTATTTATTTTATTTATAAATTTAAAATGATTCATTTCATATTAAAAAAATTAATTATTTATAAATAAAATAAGTGTGTATAAAATAATATGAGTCATTAATTGAGGCAATAAAAGTATTTTGAATTGGATCAACATCAATTTAATTGTTGGATCAACTTGTTGGGAATTAAAGAATATTTAATAGCCCAACAAGTTGGCCTTAAGGGAGAAGTTAAAGGGAAGTAGGATTAGTAATGACAGTTTTGGTAAATTAATGTTTTTGTTTTAAAAAGAGGGATATAAATACCCCAAAACCCCAAGAATTTCACACTCTAAAAATCATACTGTCACATTTCACAAAAACCCCAAAAGTTTTCCTTTTATTTTTCTCTCTCCTTTTTCCTCTTTCTTTTCTTCTCTTCCACGCCACTCTCTCCTCTTTCCACTCACATCCACCGACCACCGGCGCCACCACCATCACCGGTGATCATCAGCGACCATCGGCGAACGCGGCAGCACTGATAGCCAGTCGTGTGCCACCTTTCTCTCTCTCTCTCATCACGGTTTTGGTACAAGAAAAAAAAAACTCTCTTTACTCTTAATTTATTTCTAGCTTATTTTAATTAATATAAAGCATGAATTTTGATTATGTTTTGGTATTGATTTTGAGTAGTTAATGTTGTTAATTTATTTCTATAATTTTTAGATTTTAATTTAATCAAAACCCCAATTTACAAACTCTAGAATTTGGGAATTTAGTGTATACGGTTAGGATTTGATCCTAGGTTGTTGTGGTTGTTAAATTAATGATTTAAACATGTTTGTAATGAGTTTTAAGCCCTGAATTAATGCTGGAATTTAATTATACACACTACTATTTTAATTATTGTGTTAGAGGTTGATTACCCATAAAAGGGAAAAAGGTTTTAATGATTTAAATATGATTTCCTAGTCTATTAGTGATGTTTTATATTAAATAAGTATGCTGGACTTTTATTTAAGCCATAAAAACTAAGTCTTTTTGAAAGAATTTAAAGTACCCACTTAAAGAAAAGCTTTTAAAGCTTTTAAACCATTAAATTGGGTTATTTAGTAAGGTTTAAAGTGTATTATAGTTGCTGGAAATTTGTAAGAATAGTGGATTAATTGTAGTTATGTATTTTTATTTGCATGAAGCTTTGAGCTAGGTGATTTCTAGCGAGTGTGGCCAAGTTTAGACACTATTTAAGATACGTATGCGCATGAGATTAATTGTGTCTGTAGTATCATGCTAGGAATGTAAAATGTGTTCAAGTGATGAAATAGTAGTATGTTTGGTTGATTATATGCTTGGATTGGATGTTGGTTGATCATAAATTACTATGCAAGCATGTGAATATGTTACTTGAGGCATGATACGTGTTGAATGTGTATGAATCATGGAAGTATGTTATATTTTCAAGTATCAAGAAAGCGTGAATTTAATAAGCAAGGGTTATGTATGTTTAAAAGAGCTAAAGCGAGAATTTTTTAGCATGATTCATGATTTTATTTCTCACCTATTTATTATTGGTGTTGAGTTAAGAAGTTAGTTTAATTATTTACTTACTCATGTAAGTTGCGTTTGAGTCAAGGAAGTTTGGTAGTGCATCTTATGCATTAAGGTAGTAATCGTGCAACTTTGTGCACAAAACTAGGCAAGGAACTTTAATTAAAATAAATTGTATGTGGTTACTAATTTATTCAATAATTAAATTAAGGTATGTGTTGATGATTGTTGTATTGTATTATTCTCGATTGATTGATTGGAATCATCATATGTTAAATTGGTAAATCACGTAAAGTGTAAGAAGATACGCACTAAAACTCTTGGAACGTATACACCTGGAGTATGAACGTATTGGGGGAGTTGTGGGGTTTTATATTTAACAATAACTTCTGTAGGGTACAGGACGCTGTACTTTTTTTATTATTAATATGCGCTGGAATTCCGTCACAAGGTGACACTAGTTGGTACTCGCTTGGTTAGCTCCCAAATGAGGAGTCCCTTATTATTAAGGGATAGTTAAGGAAGGAAACCCGTTCGATGCGTAATCCAAAGCTATTATCTAATAATTAATATTGTTAGTTTGAGTCAAAGGTAAGTTGACTTGTGAATTGTATGGCAAGCATGTTTTAATTATTTATTGTTAGGATGATCATGTTAGTGTGAAGCATATATACTTAGCTTTTGCTGATTCGTACTTTTGTATTTGTGTTTGGCTTTCCTTTGGATTGGCCCTACTATGATCCATTTATATGGTGAGAAAAGGGGTTGAAATAAAGAGAAAGCGACAGGTGCTTGAAGCATGAAGGGAATGAGTGTAGAGAGTTACTTGTTATGCTTTCGTAGTTTAATATTTGAATTATTGATTTATAATTTATGGATTAACATTGTTATGTTTTATTTTTAAATTGGTTTTGAAGGGCCATGTTTATATTGGTTCCAATTTGTGAACATTTAATTTTACTTCTGTTTTGAAGTTGAGAACTCAAGTTTTATTTTGAAGAGTTGGTTTTAATTTTAGACTTCCGCTGTGTGACTTTGAAAATAGCCTTAGTTATTATTACGGTGGCGATAATATTTTGGTTGTTTCCTAAAATGAGTTTTATTTAGAGTAGCAAAAGTATTTTTTAAAGAAGGAAATTTCCAGGTATTACATATGTTGAGTTTTGGTGGTTTAGTTTGGGTTTTTGGGGTAGTTTATGTTGATATTTTGGTGGTTAGGGTTGGAATTCGAGGTGAGTATGGTGGTTTCTCAATCGACAAAGGCTGACTGTTTAGGGAGGGGGAAAGGGTCGGCTAACAAGGGGTGGAGAAAAAGGTCAGGGGTAGGGAAGGCTGGCGATCGGTGGTGGTGTAGGGATTTAGGTACTCTAAGCGAAATTTCATGAATTATATTCATACGCACCTAAAACAAGATCGCATGCATAACACACAAGAATCACATAATTATACCTTTGAAGCGTGATCTCCACGTAGCTAGTTGATTGACAATTAGTGAGAAAATAGAGCCCCAAGCATTGGTCCTCTACTTAGTCCACGAGATTCGAATGAGCCCTAGTGTGACTCTCATGCTTAGGT